TAGAAAAATGGGTTCCCATGATGAACGTTTACGGAACCCAACATTAGTTATCGTGGTTTCCCATTGGGTAATCCGACGGAACCGAAAAACGGTTACCATGAATTTCTGAAATCCTCAGGCCTGCTCCTGAATTATTTAAATTTTTGCAGCATTTATTTATAATTGTATGTATATGTTGTTTGTGTTATTATCATATGCAATTGAATAAGTAGACCATTTCGGAATTCGAAATTTGGGACTCTCTCAATGCATAATGGGACTCATACTTTTCTGATCAGTGAGTCCCTGGGACTCGCTGCAAGTAAACTGTAAAATTATCACTGAGAGATTACCGCTTTTTCTGCAGTTGGTGATTGACTTCTATGCAAAGTCATTTCTCAACTTGTGTTCCGTGCCATGTCATGCCTGTTGAGTGTTGATTTACTTCATATTAAGAAACTACTGCACTAAAACATTAATTCATAAATGTATATCATATGATTTTATTTCTTTTTCTCAGTATAAATAACATGTACCCTGACTGTTCTACTCTTTGAATAAAATCACTTCATTCAAGCGTTAGGGAGTGCTAAGGGTTATGATGGAGGGGTGTTGATAATCATGAGGACCTGCCAAGTGGTATGATAGCATTGTTTTATACATGTCCTTGGCTAGGCCTCAGTTTCAAAATCAGTCCTTGGTCCTTGGCCTTGGCCTCGGAAGCAAGTCCTTGGTCCTTGGCCTTGGCCTTGGAAGTCAATTCCTTGGCCTTGGCCTCGGCCTTGGGAGTCAAGTCCTTGGCCTTGGCCTTGGCCTCGGGTTGCCGGTCCTTGGACACATCCCTGCTGGCTACCAATTGGGTGGGGCCCTTGTGAATAAAGGTGGGTCATTTAATTGATTTTCTTTTGTTTTCACACAATTACCACCTGTGGTTTCTCTTCGGTGGGTTTTGCTGAGCAGTTTACAAAAAAAAAAAAATCCACCTAGCAACAAGGAGCTGCGTGTTGTACGTCATGAAGGCTATTTTGTGGCTTTGCAAAGAGGACAAACTGGTCCATCTCTCCATTATCAACACCCCTTGTCCTGAACAGGCTCACAAGGGGGTGCTGGAGCTTATCCCAGTCGACTTCGGGCAGAAGGTGGTCGACACTCTGAACAGTCGCCAGTCTGTCGCAGGGCACAGACAGAGACAAAAAAACATTCAGACACATGAGTGTCACTGAGTACTAACCGATCCCATGCTTCCGGCACACAAGTCAGGCGTGTATACCACCATCAGTGACTATCATGGTACATTAGATGAAATAATTAATTGTCGTGGGCAAATTATACAATTTCATATAATCACTTATTCATAACATGCAGCTGGAAATAAAGTACACCTTTGAACTTGTTCGATATTTCATTATGCTACATTCATAATATTAGTGTGAAAAACAAAATCAGAATCATCGTTATTTGCCATTTCTAAATACACAAGGAATTATCACCAGGCGGTGGAGCCACTCTTACATTACAGCAAACAAATTTCTGGCATAAACATAATAACAATAATAATAATAATAATACATTTTATTTAAAAGCGCCTTTCAAGACACCCAAGGACACTTTACAATAACAAAAACAATAAAACACAAAACAATACCGGTTGAGCAGAGGCAGCGAAACGCGCCAGCGTTCACTCAACCCGGAAGTCAGAAAGAAACCACAAGGGAGGGAGAGGGGGGAGAAAAAAAAAACCCACGCTCGAACTATCCTCATTTTGAGGATAATTTGAGTTCGGCAAAAAAACTCCTGCACAAGCGTATGACAGTTACAACAGGTCACAAGACATGAACAATGAAGGCGGTGATACAAGGGACTGTATGCGCGAGTGATTGTCTGGTTGTGTGTGCGTGTCAGGCCACAGCTGGTACGTCAAGGTCTTCTCATGGAGACAGTCCTGGCTTATCAGTCTATGGCCCAGAAGGAGGGGGTGATGGTAGTGCACTCGCTTCCAATGCGTACTTTCATCAGGGGAAGGTCAAGATAGCAGATGTTGTTTTTGGTAGCAGGCTGCCCAACAATTTCGGACAGCCTTGAGTCCTTGGCTTGTGTCTCTTAAATGGCGTTGATCATGCAAATCTGCGATTTCTTTCAATATTTGAGCACGGATTCCAGTTTCTCCAAGTTGTTGTCCATCTTGCAGTGACGCTCCAAAGCCGCATCAGTTTGCGGTTGAGCACAGTCTGAGTCTGAGTGTTGGACATCCGCCATCCTTAGACCAGCAGCCTCTTCACTTCCAATGGAGTCGCTCCCGTCGGTTGAATTTTGCGATAGATCAGGAATCTGCGAACACCAAACAGCAGCATACCTGTTATCAGGAGCAGAAAGCGTCAACTCTATCGTAAGTTAATGGCAAGAGGGACGAAGCTGTTGGATTGTCTGCTTGTTTTAATGTGCATAGTTGGATCGCGCCTCCCCAAGGGCAGGAATTGGAAGAGGTGGTGAACAGGTCGCGGAGCGTCCAATAGAAGTCCATATTTCACAATGCTAACCTGGAGACAATGCAGCATTCAGAGTCTTGCCCAAGGTCACTTTGACAGCCCACATTTGCAGTTGTGATTCCATTCATTCCGTCGCTGGATGACCCACTCTATAAACGAAACTAAAGACCTGTCTTACTTCTTGCAGCATGCTAGTCCTCTAGAGCAGTTTCGAATGATATTTTTGGCAGTCTCAACTAAGGCTCAACAATTAGTTTTCTGATCAAAACTGTGATTTCAGACAATGATCGTGTGCTCAGCACAACTCATTTTCTCAGTGCTCTTAGCCTCCCCAGCTCACCAATCAGAAGCAGGATGCTCCTCGTGAAGAGGTCACACAAACCCATCAACTCTGTGGACATCTGTGGCATTTTTACTCTCACGGTGACCTCCCAACTTGGGATCGAACCATGCTGTCAGCTTGGGAGCGCAGAGCATTGATCTCTGAGCAAAAACTCCGGGCAGCCAGCCAACTCACTTGAACCCTTTCATGCACCAATAATCATAACTTGTAACCTGATAACATGATGGCTGTCCACTGTAGTGACCGCTGTCTCTGAAAGGGTTAATACCTTATTTGAAGGTATGCAAAGTGAGCATTTACAATTAGCATCCATTTTACATAACCCGTGGGGGGGAGGGAGGGGGGGCGGGATATGCTTGGGTGCCGAGGGCAGAATATGACCTCGCTATCCCAGGTGGATTCCACTTTAACATATGCATTCATCATTGAGAAAAAAAATTGAATCAAAAAATTTGGGGGGCATACAAGCTCAACTTTTGCCCTTGCCATCTACTTTGCTTTGCATGCCACTGCGAAACAATC